ACAGGATGAGCAGCCGGGGATAGCTTATACATCCCACTAATATGCTCGCCGCTTTTGCAGTAACAAAGTGCTCAGAAATGAGCGAAGTGAGCTAAATAGCTACAGAATGCCTATTGGAAGTACTAGATTGTTCATGACTGTCTGAAAATAAATATGCATGTCTATGAGTTTTAAAGCTGAACTCCAGGCAGATATAAAGGACCCACATTCATTAATTATTGTATTCATTATTACACCATTGAATGTATTTTTAAATCTAAGCAGATTAGGTACTTGGATTGGATTTGGTATCAGCATTTTGCAGTCCCTGTACAGCAAAGCTTAGACTGCAGGAGGGGAGAATCAGCACTAGGAACCAGCTGTGCTGTAGTGCATGCAGCAAGCTCATTGGAGAAGAGAGCAAAATGACAAACATGGGCCTATCACTCTGTTTCTTCTCCTTTTACTGTCCATACACAGGATGAAAATTTTACTGAACTACAGAAGAGAAAACTCAGGTCACCTACCTTGCCAAACAGGGCTGTGTAATGTGGCAATGTTGTGTAAATCTTAGAAATGGAGTTAAAACCTCTCCATTATATACATTTCATTTGTGCATTGATCGGTTTGCTGGGCGTTTATCTTTCAGTACATTTACTGAAAGGACAGGTATACCTTAAGCCAAAGGTGTATATACATGAGTCGCAGCAGTCGCAATTGCGATCTGGCCCCATGCTCCAGGGGGCCTGTATGGCCCCCTGTACTCCTGAATAGGAAGAGCGGCATATGGAGGAACCATTCCACTCAATTTGGAATGGATCGGTTCCTCTACATGCTGCCCCGCCACCCATCCTATCCACCTCCTGCTGCCCCAGGCTCCTGTGTACTCCCCCACCCCCTCATCCCTGCACGGTTGCTGAATTACCCCTTTCCCTCTCCTGCTGGCTGCTGTGGGGGATCTGTCAGGATGGAGATCGGGGAAGACACATTTATCAGCCTCTTCCTTGTTTTAATGAATCTGTACTGATCACTGACCCCGTTCATTCATAACTGAAACATAGTAAACTGGGTTTACTATGCTTCAGTTTGTGAATGAATGGGAACTCTGTTGAGAGATATTTCTGTTCATTCATTCTGTTCTGCTGGGGCTGCAGAGATGGAGTTTGAGGGCTATTTACTTAATCTCATTTCTCTATCTCAATGGTGAAATATCAGAAGTCTATTTAGACCCCTGATATTTCACCAAAGCTCCCCAATGGGACACCTAAAAAAATAGTAAAAAATAACATGAAATAAAATTGTAAATATACAAATACAATGGTAAAAAAATAATATAAAAATAAATTAACAAAAATAAACAAAACTACTGACACCAATGGTGGAACTACCAGAGTAAAAGGTCACACTTGTGACCGGGCCCTGGAGTAACACCACTGTGGAGGGGGGAGGGGCCCTGCCAGGGGTCAAGGGGGCCATCTATGGTTTCTTGCACTGGTGCCCTGAAGGTTCTAGTTATGCCTCTGCCTTAACCTCTTGCCAACAACATAACACGTGTGTGCAGCAGCAAGGAGGGTGGACCTTAATGCCCACGCGCCACACATATGCTCCATGGTGGTTGAGGTTTCTGTGCTGACAGTGTATTGTCATTGACAACTTCTGGTCTGTAGTTCCAATCAGGAGCCAACAGGACAGACATGTAACCACATGATTAGAAAGTCTTTCCCCCCATCCCACCTTAAGATCCAGTTAAAGGGCCGCAGTAGGCAGGCAGGACGGGGAAAAGCTGATAAATAGGTGTTCTTGAACTTTTCCTTGTTTACATATTGTACATTAGATACACCAATCTCAAGTCTTTAATACAAAGTGGATCGAAAACATGCACACTTAAGGCATGGTTAACAATAAGGTTCTGTCTTTAAAAAAAAAATGATAAAAATAATTCTTAACTATAGAGTAACATGGTAGCATTTATTTTAACATAATTGAATCTACAACAAAGTGCTTGGCTTTCAGCTTCTGGCAGTGAAGGGAACAGAGATGAAAAAAAAAAGAAAACAAATGTCTTGTGGTTCTATCGCTGTCCACACGCACAGTCCAATGTTTGAGATAAGTTTGATTTAGCTCATTCTATGGCCCTGAGTAAAACCTCAGTCCTGGCTATATCTAGGCTTTCCTTGCCGAAGCCATTCTAGAAGATGCTGTTTCCAGCTGTGCCGTTGCAAAATGAGCTTTAATCTGTCATGAAAGGAAAGCGTTTGAAGAATGAGATCTTTGTACAAACCTATCCTTTGGTCAAAAAAAAAAAAAGAAAAAGAACAAAGCTATCGGCTTAATATTAAAATGTCATTCTTAGTATAAAGAAAGCAACTTCATCACTTTAATCTAAAAAGTATTTCCAGTAAATACTCACTTTGTGTTAATAATGTAAGCTTTAGGACCTGTTCATACCAAACCTTTTCAATGTGTTGAGGGGAATTGTAGCATGCTGTACAGGATACCATTTATTGTGCTGCGATGTACCGTGTGTATCAATACATGTATTGGGCATTACTGCAGTGTGATTGGGGTTCATGGGTTCTTTTCTGAAAGTAGGTTTTTGGTGATTTTTTTCATGTTTATTTTTTTGCTTCTTATAATGGTATTTTACACAATTTGTTTTTGTGTGGGATCTTTTCTAATATCAAGTTTTACAAGAATATTTTTTGTAGAGGGATAATTAAATGAATTTCTGCTTGTAAAATCACAGTTTTTGAATTTGTTATAATTACACACTAAATATTATGTTTTATTGATTCCATGTTGACCTTATGGCGTTATTTACTAAAACTGGAGAGTGCAAAATCGGGTGCAGCTACCGTATTTCGCGCTCCAAAAGATGCACCTGACCATAAGATGCACCTAGGTTTTAGAGGCGGAAAACAAGAAAAAAAATATTCTGAACCAATGGACTGCAGACATAGTACAGGAAATGACCAGAGTCTGCGAACACAGTACAGGAGATGACCAGAGACTGCGGACACAGTACAGGAGATGACCAGAGACTGTGGATGTACTACAGGGGATGACCAGAGACTGCGGACACAGTACAGGAGATGACCAGAGACTGCGGACACAGTACAGGAGATGACCAGAGACTGCGGACGCAGTACAGGAGATGACCAGAGACTGCGGACACAGTACAGGAGATGACCAGAGACTGTGGATGTACTACAGGGGATGACCAGAGACTGCGGACACAGTACAGGAGATGACCAGAGACTGCGGACACAGTACAGGAGATGACCAGAGACTGCGGACACAGTACAGGAGATGACCAGAGACTGCGGACACAGTACAGAAGATAAAAAACAAAAAGTGATGTAGCACTAAAACAAATAAATTATATAAATACTCTGTTAATAAGTCATATTAGGCACATAGTCAATGTAACACAGTGACACACTCATTAACATATAAAGGAAAAATAGTGCGTGATGGAACTAGATAAGTAAAATTAAAACACATGTGAGACCCCTGCACACAGTGCACATATCAAAAAAGTCCAGTGATCTGTATCACATTCCTTCCACTCATGCAGAATCAATGGACTGTGTGTGGACCCGCACACCCCGAAGGATCACTGGACTTTTTTGATATGTGCACTGTGTCTCACGTGTGTTTTAATTTTACTTATCTAGTTCCATCACGCACTATTTTTCCTTTATATGTTAATGAGTGTGTCACTGTGTTACATTGACTATGTGCCTAATATGACTTATTAACAGAGTATTTATATAATTTTTTTGTTTTAGCGCTACATCACTTTTTGTTTTTTACACTTTATCAGATCTGTAGGTATAGGATCAGATGTTAGCAGCTATATATGCTTATTTATTGATCATTTAACAAAAGAGCGCAAGTAGACTTTGCATATTAACAGTACAGGAGATGACCAGAGACTGTGGACACAGTACAGATAAAATACCAGGGACATAGTACAGATGACCAGAGACTGCAGACAGTACAGGGGATGACCAGAGACTGCGGACCTTTGGGGTGGGAGGGGGAGCGGGTACCTGAATTTGACAGGTACCCGCTGCCACTTCCGTGGAGTTGTTCTTCTCCTCTTCTTCCCGCGCCGGCTTCTGTGACAGCCGGGTGCCCACTGCGCATGCGCACCTGTCATGTGTCCCAAAAGACACCGGACCATTCACAAAGTGCAGCGCTTCTCGCACATGCGCAGTGGGCACCCGGCTGTCACAGAAGCCAGCGCGGGAAGACTGTACAGCGCTGGAGCGAGGAACAGGTAAGGTCCTGCAGGAGAGAAGAGCTGAGCGGCTGCCCCGATATTCTGACATGGTGGCGGCAGAAATACCGGACCGGCTGCTTTATATTCGCTCCATAAGTCGCACTGACATTTCCCCCCTTTTTTGGGGGGAAAAAAGTGCGTCTTATGGAGCAAAAAATACGGTAATCAGCTTCTAACTTCATCTTGTTCAATTAAGATTTGACAATAAGGCCGGCCATACATGGGTCAAAATTCGACTGATTTTTCATCTGAAAATCGGACCTAAGAATAATCGGTTGATTTTCACTCTGTTAGTGGGTCAATGGCACCGGCCAATTTTTGTGGTTCCTCCCCTTTTCGGTGATCGGGCATGTTGGAAAATTCGTGAAAAACAACCAATTTTTGACTCAATGATGGCCAAATCGCACGATCGTTTTTCCGAAAAGAATATGCGCATGAGCCATGACCTGGAAGAAACAGAAGTTTTGCATGCTATATGGCGTGAACTTTATGACTTGGTTGGCCGATTTTCGAAATCAGTGATGGCACCATCGGATTACCGAGCGAACGACGCTTCCAATTTTTGGATGAAAAATCATTCAGAATTCGAACCATGTATGGCCTGCATTTGTCGTCATGCACACTGGATGTTTTGATAACGCTGGTAACGTTAGCTGTGTAAAGTCACATATAAAAAGTGAGTTGTTCAGCTTTTTTAACCTCCGTGGCGGTATTCCCAAGTGTAGCTCGGGGTAAAATCTCAGTACCAAGAGCGGTAACCCCAAGCTTACCATGCGGCGTTGCTCAGGGAGTCCCTGCAGCGCTTACCTTGTCATTCGCTCCCGCGATGTCTCCCCTGCAGCGTCCCCGGCCATCTCCTACGGCCGATGCCGGCATCCGGCTTCCGTGTTCCGGTCCCTGTGGCGCCGGGACGTACGGGTGCCGGAACCGGCAGCAAATTAAAAAATTTTAAAAGTCATTTTTTTGTAAACGAATATTACATAGTAAAACATTGCTGTTTCAAACCATTTCACATACATTTTATCCCTAGTGCTTTGTCCTGTGCCCTGCTTGCATTTTGACTGTTCTTTCTGCCTTGAAACTTAGAAAAGTCCATGGCGTCCAAAAAGTGTTCCTTTAGGTCAAAAGCGGTTTTAAACCAGCTAGAGAACAGCGATAGTAAATTAGAACCACTTGCAGAATTGAGTGATAATGATTCGTGGGGAAATTCGTCATCAGCCACTGAAAACGATTTTGCGACTTTGCTCAGCGATGTGCGAACTTGGCGCTATATTTCAAATTTCAGTGTTTTTGGTTTGATTATATTATTGAATTAAATTTATTATTATATTATTATTTTTTATGATTATTTATTAAAATATAATTTATGATTTCGTGTTTCAAGTTTTATCATACCCGGAATGTTTACTAGACTCTTGTTTGGACAGATTTCAGTGAGTTATTCCTAAAAATGACAGCCTACAATAAAAAAAATACATATTTCCATGCAAAATAATGGTACCGCTTTCAGCACCAAAAATCTGAAATAATCATACCGCTAGGGAGGTTAAGCGATTTTACATTAGCGTTTAGTGGTGTTTTCCCGTATCTGCGGTTTTTTTACTTTTTTTAATTAAAAAAAAAAAAAAAAAAAAAAACCCTTTTTTTTGGTCAAATAAAGTCCAAAAAACACTGGTTTGCAATGTTTTACCGCGTTTTGCCGCGTTTTTCAGCGTTAGAGCATTTTTTTACAGCTAAAAAAACTCCTCTAGAAACCCACTAGTCCTGGGGTTTTTTGCCAGCCAAAAAAATGCCCCTGCCAAAAAATGTTGATTACTGTCTATGTGTGCATGGACACATAGGATAACATGCTGGGGGGTTTACTAGCTGTAGGAAAAAAATGTCAACAGCCCCAAAACAAAGCTGTAAAAACGTCCAGTGTACATGAGGACTAAAACCTGGAAGCTGATTGGTTTCTATGCACAGCTGCACCAGATTTTTCACTCTCTAGTTTTAGTAAATCATCCCCTATGAATAACTGCATTTGTCGCACAGGTAGACTCCTACTGGAGCTTTCCCTGCCCTCAGCATCTTACACTGACCATACACAAATATATATTATTAATACCATAGAAAAACAATTACCATAAAGTTATTTTATAAATTAGCAAAAATAAATATTTCCATAAAACATGCCCAAAAATGAATCTAAAACAAACTATTCCCCATCTAGAGCCAACAATGCAGTCCATCCTCTCTCTTCTCAGCTCCCCCTCAAATCTCGGCCCCCTCACTTCCCCTACACCTCCTATACCTGCCTGCAGCAGCTTTGATAGGAGTTCCCCATTATGTCCTATTAGCACAAGGAGAGATATTTGGCTGTTGCACCCTGTTTACATGCTCAGGTTTGTAGCTTTGTTGGTGGCATAAGGATTCAACCACATATCTCTAAACCATCCCCTAATGGGTATATCCACTTTTTGCTGGTCACACCCACTTCTTGCCATTTTTCATTGTCAAAATCAACAGTTGAAAGGAATGAAACAGTATACAGAAGGAGTTTTGCAAAATTTCACAAACTTATCTATGAGATTTAATATGTAGCTGCAATTTAAATATACTATATGACCCATAAACACACACATGACAACAAGGAGAGCTGATGTCTGTGTGACTGACTATATGATACTAGACATGTGTGATCTGTTTTGTTACAAATCAAAATTCAGATTAAATTTTCATTATTCGGAGATTCGGTTGTATCCGAATTTCTGAATCACAACAGTAATGAATTGCAATGAATCAGAAATGAATTATGACTAAATAAACTACCTGACTTCAAAATTGAATATGAATTTGAATTAGGAATATGAATTTGAAAATGCATATGAATTCAAATTGGAAACCTATTACGATAAATACAGTATGGTATAAAGGTGAAATAATATTTTTCCTACTTGGGCTGCTTTATAGAATAGAACAGAAAAGAATATAATAGAATAAATGAAAAAGGAAAAGAAAAATGGATAAGAATAGAAGAGAAATAAAAAAAAAGAAAATAATAAAATAGAATAGAAAAGAAAATAATAGAATAGAATAAAAAATAAAAATAGAATAGAGCAGCGTAGCATAGAATAGAAAGAATAGAATAGAATGAATATAGCCGGCTGCCAAAATTCAAATTGATTTTAAAATAACGACTATTATTATTATACAGGATTTATACAGCACCAACAGTCTGCGCAGCGCTTTACAATATATAGAGAGACAGTACAGTTACAATACAATAAAAACAAGAGGATTAAGAGGGCCCTGCTCATAAGAGCTTACAATCTAATAGGGTGGGGCAAGTGGTTCAAAAGGTTATAACTGGGGGGATGAGCTGATGGAAGTGATAAATATTTTAATTAGAGGCGTGATAGCCTTCCTTGAAGATTTGTGTTTTCAGGGATTGCCTAAAGGCAGCCGGAGTAGGGGATAGCCAAACAGATTGAGGTAGAGAGTTCAAGAGGATGGGAGAGGCTCTGGCAAAGTCCTGGAGATGAGCATGGAAGGAGGAGACAAGGGAGCTTGAGAACAGGAGATCACGAGAGGAGCAGAGAGAACGGTTTTGGTGATATTTGGATTTAATTAGCTGGGCAATCAGGAGGCAGTGGAGGGATTGGCAGTGAGGGGTGGCAGATACTGAGCGGTTGGTAAGGTGGATGATTCTGGCAGCAGCATTCATGATAGACTGAAGAGGGAATAGCTCTTTCATTAGTTAAATTTTAGAGCTGTTATGGAGGTGAAGTCTTCAAGCTTTTTACAGCGATTGGATTTGGGGCCGAAAGGATAGGCCCAGAGTCCAGGATTACACCTAGTACTCTGACTTGAGGGAAGGGACTGATAGTTGGATTATCGATCTTGATGGAAAAGTTATGGAGGAGGGCACGAGCACGGGGGAATATTATAAGCTTGGTTTTAGAGAGAATTAGTTTAACCACTTCCAGTCCGGACACTTTCACCCCCTTCCTGCCCAGGCCAATTTTCAGCTTTCACTGCTATCACACTTTGAATGACAATTGCGCGGTCATGCAACACTGCACCCATATGAATTGTTTTGAATTTTTTTGAGACAGATAAAGCTTTATTTTGGTGGTATTTATTCACTGCTGGGATTTTTTTTTTTTTTTTGCTATGTAAGTGAAAAAGTTCAAGCATTTTGAAAAAAAGTGTTTTTCTTATAAAATTTTGCAAATAACTAGTATTTCATCATAAATCTTGGCCAAAATTCTGTTATCTTTTTAGTAAAAAAAAAAAAAAAAACCCAAATTAGTTTATAACCAAAAATTATAATTTTTAAACATTTTTTTTTACACTTTTTTTTTTATTTATTATTTATTTATATTTAACATACTGTCACCCTAGCAGTACAGTGTCACCATAGTGACACTGTACTACTTGTGGGGGGTGATGAAGATTTTTTTTTTTTACACTGATTGCTTTTACATAAAGGCTGTAAAAGCAATCATTCCTCCTTCTCTCTAGCTGCATTCTTGCAGCCATTGAGAACTACTGAGTGAGCTGTGATTGGTCACAGCTTGTCACATGGTACAAGGCTGTTGTGAATAGCCTTGTACCATGTGACCTCTGTGATCATTTACAGATTTCACACGTAGTAAGCAATGTTGTCACAAATGACATCTTGCTTACTACTTTGCATGTGATCAATGATTGGCCAATCAGTGATCACATAATCGGGACCTCGCACAGAGGTTCCGTCCGATGATCGGTGTTCCACCGTGTCCAGAGATTGCGCACAAGCAGGGTGCGGGGAGGCCGTTTATAAACAGCCACCTGACCCTGCACTGCCACCGAACGGCCGTTTATATACAATGGTCGGACAGGAGGTGGTTAAGGATTAAATGTGTAGGGAGTGGGAAATGGAGAAAAAAAATGACTCTTCATATCCTTGTGGACACAGTTTTACTGGTACCACACCCCTAATGAGGATTATATTGAATAGGACCCTAATTTTACAAATTGTCATTCCATTTTTGTATAATTTGTGTTTATTGATATGGTTTGGTACCTCTAAAGCCCCACTAGTTTTTCTTGGTTAGGGTCTTATTCAATTCAGTTTATGGAAGTGGCACGACATCCATGCTGATATGTCAAATGAATCTGAATATATGAAATGAATTCTGAAAATGAATCATTCTAATATAATGAATATGACAAATCGAAATTATTCATTTAACAAAAGAATTTGAAATGAAACACATTTTTCCGTTGAGCACATCTCTATATGACACACGATTTCGCTCATAATGACAATCTAACCAACTAGGTTGTTGTCTCATTGTGGCCTGAGTGATTTCATCGCTAAAGTGCAGGATGTCCAGACTTCTCACCTTTTTACAAGAATGGCAAGCAACCATTTTACATTCTGAAATGGCAACTTCAGATATCTTCTTTAGAAACCAGTAACCACAAGCATGCAGAGTTCATACATTCTCTAGGATGTTCAGTTCGAGCCAGAAAGTCATCAGGACTCGTTCATGCTAGTTGTCTTCTGTATATGGTATTACATATGGTGCTTAGAATGGGTAAAAGGGAAACATACTTCGAGCTGACAGTCATTATACTATTGTTTTTTATAATTAATTTATAAAAATTACAAATCCCTAAAGTATGCACCCACCCAAGCAGAGAAAGCACAATTTACAGTACATTTTCCTGTAGAGGCACTCTCCAGAATCAATTGCCTTTGTATAAGTTAACATTGGTCTGACTGAACAGCTTGGTGTTAAAACAAAAAAAAGAGGTTTGTCAGAATGCAAGGGAGCTAATATAAAAGTAGTAGGTGACACTTACAGTAACTTGTTACATGGGCAGAGGACACAGAATTGACGTGAAAAGGTAAATTACACAGACCTACTTAGGAAACCTAGGAAAAAGAGTCTAAGTGACATAAATCTTATCTAATTAGGCACAACACTGCAAGAACTGAGAAGAGAACATCGTTTTTAAGATTTCATGTGAACATGTCCTATTAGGTCTTGCTCTCCTTTTGGTAAAGTACTTGCAAAGTGAATATAACACACATAGCGAA